ACCACTGTTCTTTTCCACCCCCTGATCTCTCTCCTTCTTTTCCTCTACTTCTTCCTTCCCCTGCAGTGCAGTTCTCAAAAGTCCCATTCAGGGAGGGCCTCCTCTCGTTTTATGGTGCACTCCCAGAGCAAGTGTATCTATTCTGTGGCTTTAACAGATAGCCTTACAGCAATTTACAGGCCCACTTCCTTCACTCTGAGTCTTCTACAAAGCTCTCAAGCCCCAATTTCCACATGCCTGCTGATATTTCCATGTGAATTTCCCTCCAGCAACTCACACTTAGCATGCCAGCCACTGAATTCCTAACTGTCTTCATGAAACCTCCTTTTCACTTGTATTTCTTCTTCTTCTTCTTTTTAAAAAAAAACTTTATTTTTTAAATTTGACCAGAGAGGGACAGAGTGAGAGAGAGAGGGAAAGCAAGAAAGCAAGCTGCCAGGTCTAGGACTTGAACCATAGTTGGCCATGTGGGAGTCTGGCACCCTTAACCACCATGCCACCTGTGGGCCTTGCATTCCTTCTTTTTGTTGGTGGTTTATAGCTTAGTCTCCTGGGCTCTAAATTTTGATGTCTCTGAGATGTGGCACTTTTGCCTTTTTAGAGCCTGCCATGGCCATGGCCATGGCCTCTTGTTCGCATGTCATTGCTCCTTATCTGGCCCGTTGCAGTAATTTCCTCATTGTTTCCTTGCTATACTCTTTTCCTATTACCTCTTCCATCTCAACCTTCATTCTTCCTAAAAGACCAGTATCTGGTATAACTGATCATGACACTTCCTCACTAAAAATACGTTAATGACTCCCTACTGCCTTTTGAATAAAGTTCAGACTTCTGGGGTGTCAGTTAAGTAACCTAAGAGTGCAGCCCAAACAGAACATTCCATCTCTATTTCTAACAGCTAACTCCCAACCCACCCCTGAACACATTTACCCTCCAAGCACAAGGGGATAATTTCCCACACATCCCTAGACATTTTCTGCATCTCTCTCACACTATTATGATCCCTATAGAATTAAAATTCTCCCTTGAGAATGAAAAAAATCACAATATAAAGCTCTCTGCTTGTGATGCAATTTGCCATGGTGGGTATTTTCTGCTCTTGTGCCCTTCTGTCCCAGTCTCCAAACCAGGGAAGAGAGAAGGAGAAGGCAGATACAAGGCCACTGAGCTTCTGGCTACATTGTTGACTTTGGATAATGGAAGTGAAAAAGGGAAGTTCAGCTTCCTGTGGGTCTTCACTTGCTTTAACTGTGCTGATTATGCTTCTATGTAAAGACACGGTCATTGCTTGAGTCAATAAACAATTTCTGTTGTTGTTGCTAGAGTGCATGTATATTTGCTAGAACGAGAGAGAGGGGAGAGGGAGAAAGCGCCCTCCAATAGGGTGTGGTCATAGCACAGTCCCTTCTTCATTTCCCATCCTGTCAGGGTTTGGCCATGCACACATGCATAGGTAACTGGCATGATTTTCAAGCCACTGGGGCTGGGATTCAACCATAGCTGGTTGTGTAGAATCTGACCCCCTTAACCATTAGACTATGGAACCAGCCTCAAAAAGCAATTATTAATCCTGTTCAAGGCATAGAAATAAACCTAAAAGGATTAAGATCCAGTTCCTGCGCTTTGTCAAATTCGATGAACCTGGTAAATAGTAGCAATGGCCAAAAGAAAGATACGTAAACTTAAATAACAGAGAACTTCACGGGGGTGGTGGTGGTGGTGGTGGTGGTGGTGGTGGAATGTCCTCGTAGGTTGGAGGGGTTGGGAGTGGGGATAAATAATTCTCTATCCCCCTCTAATTCGTGTAAGCTCTGGTGGGACAGGGATCTTTGTTTTGTTCAGTTCTGTATTTCTAGCTCCCGGAGCAGTGCCTGGCACATAGTAGGACTCAATACATATTTGTTGGATGAATAGGTGCCTGAATTAAAATAAAACTGTGTGTATAAAAATATAGGCCTGGGTGTATGACCGTGAGCTTCCTGAAGGCTGAGACGGTGTCTGTTTGCACCCTGATGGATTTGTGTTGTGTTGGGTTTCCTAGGCCCGTAATAAATGCTGGGTGAGCGTTGAGTAAGTGAGTCCACAGCTGAGGTTTGTTTTCTTCTTACCCCTTCACCTGGTGTCGTTAAGTATTAGCCTTCTCAGAGGAAATGTTCATGCCAAGATGACAGTGGTTTTAAAGGTAAGAGTCTTTAAGAAACCCAGCAAAAGAGGCAAAGCGATGGAAGATGAGACAAAGAAAAAGGTCAGGAAAATAACATTTTTCATGTAAGTAACTACTGAAAGCATTTCTGAACGTGAGGTTTGTCTTTACCTGGTAGTCAACTGAAACAGAAAATTTGACTAGAGGTGGTAATAATGTTAAGCCTTCTCATTAGCAACTCTTGCTTGATTTAATCCAAGAATTAAATATTGTAACATAGAGGCCAAACCTTAGACTTATGGAAAATATTTGTCCAATTCAGAATTAAATAAAAAGGCAGAAAGCCCAGGGAATATTTCTGTGACTGTCACTCCCCCTACCCCCACCCCCCATGATCTAAATTTAACTAACTGAAATTATATTCTAAGTATCAGATATTTATGCCAGGCTCTGAAAGTGGCAGCTATCTTTGCATACTGAAATTACTTGAGGCTTGTTTTCCTGAGAAGCTCATCCATTAAGAACCCCACTGGATGCAGAATTAATTGCTGGGGAAAGAATCAAAAGCGAGGGAACATCATAGTCTCTGCCCCGGAGGAGCTTACCATGTAAGTAGGTAAAACAGATAGAAAGAAGCAGGGGGAAAAATTACCCTCCTCTCTAGGGGTGGCATGTTTGAAGAGAGCTTGGAATTCGTGTTAATTGGTTATGGTAAGACTCCCAAACATAGACATGACTGTCGTGATGGAAGAAGTTTCTCACACCCACAGATTCCTACATGCAGGAGACTTGGCATCCCACGCAGGGCCACAGACGGGGCATGGAGGTTGGTGAGGATGTGAGGGTGTGCAGGACGTGGGCAAGAGCCTTCACTGTGGTTTCCATGAGAAAGACTTGCGGGCAGGATGAGAAGGTTTACGATTGGCTAGCTTGAGTAATTTAAGGAGACTCTGGGCTTAGGGGCTGTCTTTCTTAATTTTTAAAAAATTATGTATTTATTTAAATTTGATGAGAGAGAGAGAGAGAGAGAAAACAAGCCACCAGGTCCAGGACTTGAACTGTGGTTGGCCATGTGGGAGTCCAGTGCCCTTAACCACCATGCCACCTGCCAGCCCCTCCTTA